AAATATTATGCCAAATTAAACGTCACATGTCGTTTATCTATTCTTTTATTTCCATGAAATAGTCGAATATGTTATATATAAAATCTTCTATTTCTTTTAATTTTCTTTTAAAATTTTCTAAACATTTTATTAACATATTTTCAAATATTTAAATATTTTGTTGATATTTTTAAATTTTATCCTTAATTTTTTTATTTAATAAAATATAAAATATAAAATAATTTGAAGGAACTTTAAGGAGTTCTTATTTTGCCGCTCTCTTTGTTTCTTCGTGAAAGATATCTTCTTTTTTTCAATATTCTTAACTCGATTTACTGGATCTTTAGTACGCACTTTATCCTTTCAACAAAACGCGCAGTACTATTTCTTTCCTATACATCTACTTCCTCTACTTATAGTTGTCGTATCTTTCCTGATTGTGCAAGCTTCATGATCATCTTTTAAAAGAACCGGTTATGAAGCAGTATATTCTCCTTTATTCAAACGAGAAGTTACAACGACAGAACTTCACATCACAAAGGGAGGTCAAACGTATACGTGTCAGTAATAACAGTATTTAACAAAAAAAAAAAATGCGTAAAAATAAAGATAATTATTTCCCGTAGTTTCGTGAATATTGAATATGATCCCATTAAATTATTGTATCAAGTTACAATTTTAAGAAATTTATATTTAAAATTGCAAAAAGGCAATTTAAAAATTATTTCAGAGCATATTGTAACTACGATATATAATATGATGAAAAAGTTTTTATTATGATCAAAATTAAGTATATTGTCAAGATTTCTAGTTCTTAAAAGTAGAATTTTTGTTGTATCGATCGATTATAGTTAAAAAGATATTTGTGTTTAATGTAAAATATATCACGTTATTAAAATTGTAATTTACATATACTTTTAGCATATGTAAATTATCTTCTAAAATATATAATAAAGCAATACAAAAAGCTGAATTCTTATTGTATCGATTATAGTTCAAAAGATATTTGTGATTAATGCAAAATCTGTTGCTTTGAAGTGTTGTAATTACATATGCTATTTAAGGTATTAAATATTTTTTAATTATATGTATTATTTAAATTTAAAGGTTTTTATACCGCTGAATATTAATCTATAAATGTCAAAAGTGAAACAATGAGTTCAAAATGGCAGAAATATTATAAACGTCAAAATTAAATTCAGTAACAGTTCTTTTAATAATAACTTTTTAATATCATTTTATAATTGAATTTATTAATAATTTATAACTTTTTTGTGTGTGATATTAAAATTATATATTGAACGATTTGATAAATTTTAAATAACAAAATATTTGATAGAATTTTAATGAAAACTTACGAAAAAATCGTTACTTCGATGCAAAAAAATTTATATTAATTATAAATTTTATATTAATTATATAAATGTCTTCTAATTATAATCAACATCAATTTTATTTAATCTTAGCTACTAAAATTTTTTTATATTGCTTTTTTGTAGTATAATTCGAACAACTGCTAGCTGGATTGAAGTTAAAAAATACTTTAATTATCTATAAATACGATAAGGTTAGAAGAGCAGTGTTTTGCGTTATTATTCAATGTGGGACTGTACGAAAATTCAAGAAGAGTACTTGATATCTTCATGTAATTACTCGTTTAAAAAGTTTTCTGGGTTATCCTTTTGCGTTTTATTAAATATACATTTAATATAGATTTCAGATAATATAAAAATAAATATATGAAATTATAGGATTGAAAAAATTATTTTATATACAGATCTCCGATGTGCGCCAGATCACTTACACATCTCTTTTTATCTCTTCGTAAAATAAGGTATAATAAAAAATATATTCAAGCAATAATTTTAGGGTTTAAAAAATCTATTTACTAGTCTTATCATAGTTTGATCTTAAGTGCCAAGCTCAAGCTTACACTGATTTTTTAAAATAGAAATCCTTATTTTTTATTGCATATTTTTATAATTTACCTCGAGAACTTTTCAAAATAATGTAACAAAATATTTTTTCATTAAGTACTTTTGTTATAAAACTTAAAAAATACAATACCGCCGGCATTAGCATTAGCTAATGCTAGCTGGCGTTCGATTGATATTTAAACTTTTTTAAATGCTTTAAACTTTTTTAAAACTTTTTTAAATTGTTCAGGAATGTTAAGATCAATGCAATTAAAATTAATTAAATTACAATTTGAAGTTATTATAAATTGTATCCTGATGGATACAAAACGTATAGTGTGTATTTTCACTTTTCTATTTGTTAAGATGATATTTTTGGATCTCGTTTTTACCTGATATTGCTGAAATGTTGTATCTACAAGCTTGTAAACAGATATAAAATACATATGTATTTTGGGAAGCCAGAACATATAATTTTCAGAGATACTGCACAATTATACCTTAGTAAATAAATTTACAAAAATATTATAAACTCTATATATAGCTTGTTAAAATAGTACAATGATTTATTTTATATCTGTATATTATATAACTTAATATAGTTTTATTAAAAAATTATATGCATATGTATTTTGTTTTGATCATTATTAATTAATTATTTAAAGCTGTACTTTTCAAAACTACCAATATTATTAGCATTAATGAACAGTTAATTAAATATTTGTTTTTTGATGTTTTTGAAATATTTGTTTAAATATAAAAATATGTATCAAATATTATATCATAGGAAGAAGGTTGTATAAATGAAAAATTTTAAATTGTTGAGGCTGATTGATAGAATAAAATGAGTGAATTTGGCGGATCTGGGAATTCAACATACATTTGGTACATGATACATGAATTTTGAAAGCTGTCATATTGTACATGAATTTGAATCCATATAATTCGCAATCTGCCAGTTCCGCACAATATTATTATAGGTGACTTAAGATCTATTCGATATATTGCTATATAATATTATAAAGAGAATTAGAGAGCAATGAAGAAAGCTACCTCGAATATTCAACAGTATAATTATGTATTGGCAAATCGGTAACAGTTTTGTATTTTATATTTTTATAATCATTGACTAAATTAAAGATCGAAACATATGTTTAGATTTAACGTAATTTTATTTTTGTAAAATTACATTCAATTTTGCATAAGCTATCAGCCCTTTTAGCTCAAATAACTTTTTATTTTATTTGAATTTTTAATTCTATTGAGCCGTTATTTTTATTTATATTTTTAATTGCTATATGTAAAATATTATGTCACTGTAGATTATGTACTCATATATCGAAATCCAAAGTTTTCATATAAATTTATATAAATCTATACGTTGCCGAATCTGGAGCATAATTGAGTGATTTAATTATGTTCATTTAGAATCTATGTTTTGCTTTTAAAGATAATTTGTTCTAACAAACTTAAATACGCTCTATCAAAGAAACTGTTACCTATGTTTTTCGATCGTTATATGAGTGAGCGACATACTCCTCTGGAATCCTGTCTCTGATCTTCCGGACATGGTCTTGCGGTTGTTCTTCTAGGTGCATCTATAATGCTTGTAGGTTGTATCTTACATTCAGTATAGGGTGTCTTAATCTTGAGTTGTGTATATATTACATCCTTATTCTTTTGACCGACTGTCAGTGGCAAGATTAACATCATTGTCACAAGTATCAGGAAAGCACCACCAAAGAACTTCATTTCTAAACGACGCAATTTAATTTTTTTGTTTAAAAATGCAATTTGAAATGCAAATAAGGATCAAAGTTCTCGCATCACTAATGTTGTTAACTAATCTTTACCGTTTTCTCGATTTGCTTTTCTTAACTTTTTTCGACTTTTTTTCTCGTAACTTATCGCAAAATTTTCCAACTTTATTTGCACTTAATACTTCTTTTACTCTGGTTATCTTAGCGAGTATTTTGCCACTATGCTATTGATGTTTCCTATTTATACTCACATACTTCCAATGCACTTTGCTTTATTACGATAAAAAATTACAATTATGCAGATTAAAAGCGTGCTAATTATCGCAATCAAAGTATATTAATATCAATGTTGTCAATAAACATTGATAGCTATTGCGTTCTGTTACTGGCATTCTTTTCTGTGAAATATTAATATATAAGCGGAGCGTTCACACAACTCTAACAAACTGATAAATAATATGTATAATATACAAATTGCTCAGCTTCATACATATATCGTTTATGACTTCCATTCAGACTATAACTCTATTATAGCTATAGAGTAACGTAACAGATTAACATCGGTCTTGACATAGTTGTAAAGACGATTTAAAAATAATAATTTTTGTTGATCAATAAAAAACAGATTACTGAACATACCGGTGAACAATTTTATGTATGAATAGGAAACTGAAAAGACAGATAACGTATTTTCATATTTTGCCGCACGTTCGGCATTAAAATTGGCTGGCGTTTATTTTATTATTATTATACCGTATTTAGACCAATAAATGTCAAAATTTGATAATATAGCTGATTTAAAGAATATATTTGAAACCAAACTGATATGCATACACAATCATTAATAACACTATACTTAATAATATTCATTGCAACTTTTTTTTATACGGGATAGGAATTACTTTTTCTATACGGGAGAAGAATAGGCTCGTATTTTCGCGTATTTTGCTGCACGTATTTTGCTACACGACATTGACTGGTGTTTGTTTTGTGTTGTCAATATCATGGTTGTATTTAGATCAATAAACGTTGAAATCTGATAATATAGCTGACCTAAAGAACGTGTTGAAGACAAAATTGGTATGTACACACACAGCTATTAATATTTTATTTCATAATATTCGTTGTAGCTTTTTTTCTACACAGGATAGGAATTATTACTAAACGTCTATTATTAGAAAAAAATCAGTTTAAATTCGATAATTCATCTGTCATTTAAATTTCAATACATGTAGTGATGTATAGTTTGCAGCTCTATAGACTTTTTCTATTTATTGCTAGGTTTTGTTGACATACATGATTTTTATTTGACGTGAAAAAAAAAATAGAAAAGAACATAAAAAACTTAGATAAAAAATGTATTTTATTATGATAAATTGGGACTCATATTATAATTGCAAGTTACAGCGTTAAACACTAAAACTAATAAATAATATACATTGATAATCGCATCGATGATGAAGTTTGTTTCTCTGATGCAAAGCGGACAAATAGCTTGGCCAATCTCTCGACATGCATTGTTATGATATTTCATTGTGACGTTTGTAGGATTACACCGCTCGTATCGTTGTATCTGCAAACAAATATAAAAAATAATAGCTCATGAATGAATGGTCCTTGTTTGGCGACATAAAAAAGGAATTACAATGAAGGAATTGCAATGATTTAAAATTTTTTTATAGTTTTCTTTTTAGACACACACACACACACACACACACACACACACACACACACACACACACACACACACATTTTGCTTTATTGGTATATTTAAATAGCTATAAAATGAGCCGAAATAATACAATCACTAAAATAAACATGTGAAATATATGCAGGAATGTTCCGGAAAAGGAAATGAAAATATGTGTTTTTCAGGAGTAATTGTTGGTTCAGAGGCAATATTAAAAATTTGAAAAATATAAATTTTTATTGATAAACGCATTTTCAAAAAATAGATTAAAAAATATATGTTAGAGATATTCACACTTAAAAATTTTATAAGCTATTTTATATGTGGATATTTCATAAGTTAATATAATAAAAAAATCTTTAAATGTGTGTAATTCTATGAAGAAATATCCTAAAACTAGTTCTCTTGACTATTATAAAACATTTGCAATGTTACTGCAAAATTGCAAAAGTGCTGAATCATGCTTCACTTTTTATTTTAGAAATTTTTCGATATTTTTTTGTTTGAATCACGCTGATCGACGAAATACAAAATCAATATGTCATGAAACATGAATCGGCGTCACTATTACATGCAAGAATCTAGAATTCAATTGTCGTTGATTTTTCGGTAGCAGTCAATTCTTTTTATTTCCGACAACGATGACAACGCGACAGTCATCATCGTCACGGAGGAGATTAACAACGTGGCTTAAATTTTCATTTTTGTGATATTCACACAAAACATTTGACCCCGATTCCTCTAAACGACGTTTATAACATACGAAATATCTTCGTTAAAAGAGCGTTTTCCCGCTAATCTCCTATTATTTACAACGACGTTGTCGTTAATCCGGGGAATAGTTATTTAATTTCTTTTTTTTTACGTAAACGATCACTTGAAATACGTGTTTTTATACTTTAATTAAAATTAATATTATTAACAACATATTGTACATTATTGATTCTTCGTCTTCTCTTATTTATTAATATCTGCGAATATTATAAATTTAATTACAATTTTCTAAAAAAAGTAGATACAAATTGAATATTAAATAGAATATATATGTATTATATATATATATATATGTATA